GCTGCAATTTGCAAATGTAAATTTAAAGCCATGAAAAGATATCGTATTTTAAATGGGTCAAAGACGGTCATCCATTTCTGATTTTAATTTATTCCGTGCGCTGATAAACAAAAAAAATTATAGTCTCTGCTCATCTGTTGGCTTCAGAAATGAATAACTGTACAATCTATACAGCCTATTTATCCTACGCTATTAATTAGTAATACACGTGAAAATGTGAATAAAAATAATTAAATATATTATTTAAAAATCATTAATAAAAATCTTATTTAAAAATAAAAATTAGGGCGAGGCAGTGGCGCAGTAGGTAGTGCTGTCGCCTCACAGCAAGAAGGTCGCTGGGTCGCTGTTTGAACCTCAGATCAGTTGGTGTTTCTGTGTGGAGTTCTCCCTGCGTTCGCGTGGGTTTCCTTCGGGTGCTCCGGTTTTCGCCACAGTCCAAAGACATGCGGCACAGGTGAATTGGGTAGGCTAAATTGGCCATAGTGTATGAGTGCGTGTGTATGTGTGTGTGAGGATGTTTCCCGGAGATGGGTTCCGGCTGGAAGGGCATCCGCTGCGTAAAAACTTTTTGGAAAAGTTGGAGGTTAATTCCGCTGTGGCGACCCCTGATTAATAAAGGGACTAAGCTGACAAGAAAATTAATGAATAAAAATAAAAATTATAATCTTATAATAAAATAAAAAAAATTAATATATTATACATATATATTGTATACCCCTCCATCATTTTCTGAAGGCAACATTAGGCTGTGTTTATCTACAACCAGGCCCTGCACAATATTTTACGACCTTCAACGACATGTTTATTGCTTCCCTGTGGCTTGAATCTTGATCTGATCATGTCATGTGTTAATCGTTGGGCAGAACTTCAAAATAAGACACTGATATTGCTCAGATGAGGTGGTCTTTAACCTGCTGTAGATAGGTACGTTTATGTATCTGGTGTTTTTTGGGCCTGCTGTCAATAAAAGCTGTCATTTCGGTAAAATTAACAATTTCAGTTCTGAAACTTGCATATTATTCTTTTAGTATGGTGACATCTTTTTATCAAATGTTCAAGTAAAAGCTGATTTCTTAGTTTGTGACCCTTTTAAGTAATTTGTGGACGTTTGAACACTCTTCTTTCAGCAGTATTAAAATGTTTAGTAGAGTATTACATTCTGAAGATGAATTTTACCTAATTATACACCTTATGCCCCATATACATGCTAAATAGGACCACACACACACACACACAAGTTCATGAAAATCGGGATAGTTCTCATTTAATATAAGGATTATTCAATATTTGATGTACTAAACATATTTCAGCTTTCAGAAACCAAATCTCTCTTTCAAATCTGCCGAGGCTATACTGATGCCGAGTTGCAAAGACAGCTTGTTCAGAATATGCAGGGTTGTGACGTGATGTCTCTGAGCACTTAATATAAGTGCGCACATTTACACATTAACACCTATTCAGCAACACTGTACATAATTTTTCATCTCCACATTGCCTTCCATTGGACCTCAATTTAAGGGCTGTGACAGCAAATCAATATTATTAAGAAGAACTGCTATTAAAACTAGTAAAAATGAGCATCATCACAGACACTGCCACAGTGACATAAAGAACCTTCATTGACATCAATTTACAGTTTGGAGGGGAAAAAAAAGGGAATTTAAAAATGCCAAAAAGCAAAAGAACATGTTTCAGAAGAAAAAACTACATAACAAGAGTAGACAAAAGTATGGGACCCAAGAAAAGCAAGAAAAGTGGTGTGTATAACTTGTGCTCTTTACATTGTGGGGACCACAAGTATAAAAAAAACAGTACGAAAAAAAAAACTTTTACGTCTATAGCTTTACAAGTGTGCTTCTCTCTCTCTCTCTCTCTCTCTCTCTCTCTCTCTCTCTTTGTGTGTGTGTGTGTGTGCGCGCGTGTGTGTGTTTGTGAGTGAGTAAGTGAATAATATCACTGCTCTCAGTATACATCATTGGCATTTGATACAATTTCTCATCCATTTGTGGAGCAAAAAAAGTGAAAACCCAGTGTCAAAGCTTTTCCACAGCAAATCATGCACATAATTCTTTCATTGACTTCCACTGAAACACAGCACAGGTGGCACATACTGTAGAGCAACTTATTTAGATTCTCCTGAGCAATAAACATTGACTTTCACTCTGCTGACCTCAATGGTACAGGTATCTACTTAACACTCACTGTAAAATTGTAGTTCTAGTTAGAAGTGCGCTTATTTGTACAGGTATAATTATTTTTAATAAGTCACCCTCTTTTCAATATAATGCCATCACACATTGTCAGTCAAATGTGCCATTTTTTAATCTGAAATTGCGAATGAGCTAAGAAGAAAATCTTATCTTCCTTTTCATTTTTCACAAAAATATCAGTATTTTCTGGTCTTTGACAGTCACGGTCACTTTGAACTATAATAGTATGAGAAAATAGCTTATGTAAAAAAAAAACTAATTCTTTCACAAAAAAAAGAATAACGCAAGCAAATGAAATGATGACAATTGTGTTGAACAGCATAATTCACTCACCCTAATTCTAAACATGTTTGACTTATTTTTTTATCAATATGAAGGCTATTATTAATAAAGTCTACAAACTTTTATTATGTGGTCAGGTTTTAAAATATCTTGTGTTAGAGATGAAAGTTACAGGTTTGAAATGACATGAACGTTGGTAAATACAAAAGAAATTTTACTGTTGTTTGTAAATCGTTCTACAAAAAAAAAAGAAATCTCTTGTTCTAAGCACAGTGTTTTGCACAGCACATAAGGCAAACTTTAAATATGACCACTATAACTACACATGTAATCTTGAATGAGAACAAGAACTTGGACAGAGGGTTCTCAGAACTGAGTGCAATGGGGCTACAGTGAACTGTTTTAAGGGTTCTTGGTATAGGCTCCCTAATACGGTTCTACCTAGAATGCTTTGTAAGGAACCTTTGCCTTGTTTGGAATGCCATTTGACCAGAACTGAATTTGACCAAGGTGTACTTCAGATTATTACATAACCGATACACACGTACACAAAAACTCTTTTACTCCCCCTGCTTCTTTCTCCCCCTTTGTCCCTCTGTGTCTCACTCAGACGCATAAATTAACATGTGTACCACTAACCCATCTATCTTCAGTGTTTTTCTAACTGATCAGACTTTGTCTGTTTTTTTAAAAACCATTGATTTAAATCTGCTTTTGTTTTAATGTTAAAAAGAAAAATCACATTAAAATACTGCCAGTGTTCAACATGACGACCGCAATCACCACATACTATTAATACTGTGAACTGTACATGTAAGTACGAACAATTCCTACTCAAATAAAAACAGTGTAGCCATCAAATGTTGTTGAGGTATTCCCAGTCCACTTTTTCCCACCTAAATGTGGCTTCATGTTGTAGGATTCATGTTCGAGGGATTTATTATGTGTGATATGAGGTCAAGACCAATTTAAAAAGACTCTCACACTTTGTCTAATTATTTGGGTCTGCGTGTGTCAGTTTCACGCTCTGTCTGGTGTCGGACTCCATGCTTTTTCACAAAGATCAAGTGGTTCTGTTTCCAACTCAAACCCCAAAGATTCAAAGGTTAAACACACAACAAAGCTCAAATTCCTTTCAGGAAAAAAACACACACTGTATACACTAGCCTTGATCAAAACACTTGTTTAACTATGTCTGAACCTGAAACAGCAAGAGTTCTCTCAGGTTCTTTTGACAAATGCAGAAACAGGCCACTGTTTGTAATTTCACCATAGTGAGTTTAAGATAAAGTTTTGTTTTAAAAAAAGTGTTGCAAAGTAAATCCAAATTAGGATAATATTTAAAAACCAAAATCACAAATGCTGACAAAGTGGCATATCAAAACGACCTAATAAAATAGAAGTTATTAATGCTAAAACTGTCATTTTAAGCAAGGAGTTTGCATGTCATTTGAAACGAATAACATGACAGTTGGACCTGCGTGTTGGTGTGTAATACAAAGTGTGCCCCTTCCATGTATAGTCTGTGAGTTATTAAATGTGTGAATGACTCAGGAAGGGAACAAGAATACAGGGAGATTCAAGGATAAGAGCTTTGAGGCTCTTGGCACAGTGTCTTTTGTGTTGGACACAACCGTGTGGGGTTGCCTTGATCGCAGTATCCCTGGAACCCAGCAACCCTGAGGGAGGAGGCTGGCCTGTGTTTTAAAGACTACAAGTTTGTGTGTAAATGCGTACAGCTGTCTCTGTGTACTAGTTTACTTGGCTGCAAACACAAAGAGATGAATTTCAAGCAAATTAGCGCTTCCTCCAGGAATTATACATTTAATTCCAACCAAATAAATCAGTCGTAAATCATTAATTATCCTGATCAGTTCATGAAGTAGATATATAAAATCTATACAGAACTAAAACTGCATAGAGAAGATTTAAAGCAGACCTTGTTCTATAAAATATATAACATATGAAACTATTTAAATGGGCATATCTAAACGAATGAGTATATAATACTCAGTGTAAAATGAGTATATAATATATAATGAGTATATAATTTATAATGAGTATATAATTTATAATGAGTATATATATATATATATATATATATATATATATATATATATATATAGTTTAATTACAGTTGTCACGTTTATCAAAATTTACTTATGATTATTCTAAAGGTCCTCGGAGCGACTGAAAATATGTCTGGGAGATGCCTGGCTTTGAAAACCCTCTTAAAAAATTGTATGTACTCCAAATGTTTTTGTTTAACTATTTTCTATATACCCTGTGCACGGTGTATTATTCATTTCGGTTATGCACTCAGAGAGTAAATATAAATGCAAATAAGCATTTCTTTAGGTCGAAAAAAACTCTTGTCCCGTTTGAGAGGTGCAAATGCGCGCGGTATAATTTTAAGGGGCGCGTGCAGATCTGGAAATAAACTTTTAAACTAAATAAATCAGTTGTGGCGCAGAGCAAACAAAACGCAGCAGAGCCGCCTCTTACCTGCCATCCGTGAACGATGTTACATCCATCCATTCGCCCATCTCGTTTTTCACGCCAGGCACGTTAGGGTACGGATGACGGGTCAGCATCCCACCCGGGTACCACTGCTCGTGCGGAGGTCGCTCCCGCGGAACCAGAGCAGTACTTCGGCCGTATTCATAAGGGTTACAGATAAACGGGGGTTCGTGGCCAGTAGCATAAGGTGTCCTTTGCTTTGGAGGCCCGTAGTGGCCGTTAGAGTCCTCGGCGTACCTATGCGGGTACGCCCAGGTGTCATTCAGATCACGGGGCATCATCTCGGTCTTGATTCTGACATTATAGAGATTCGTGTAATCCTCCATGGGACCAGCAAACTCTCCAGACATTGATGTGGATTTTACGAAGCTATGGCTCGGTCCGTTTTCGAGCTCCGGGTGGGCATAATGGGTCATGCTCGCGGGCAACAGTTGTTCAAACTGGCACGAAGCCGCTCGCGGTCCGTCCATATCCGGTGCTGTCTGCGCTGCTGTACCTTCTGAACTCAGGTTGGCAATGTCCCCGGACAGGCTGCCGAACTCATGCACATCCGCGGTCAAGTTCGCTCGAGAAGCGTTGCTGCACTGCAAGGTCGTCACCTCACCAGCTAGCTGTTCCAGGTCGCCACTTTTAAGCATCCCGAGCACTTTGTCCCTGCCTCGGAGCTCTTCGCCTCTGTCTCGTCCCGCCGCGAGAGCGTACTCTCGGTCTTTCCTTCCTGCCTCTCGTTCGCTCACTGAGCAGTCGAGCAAAGGCATTCCGTACAAATAGATCTCCTCACTACTTTCAGTGGTCAGGGGCGGTGGCGGCGGTGCATGGTGCTGTCCCACCTCGCCCAGTTCGCTGGACTCCATAGCTAAGCCCAAAGATACGGACACGGCTTTGCACAACTCTCGCGCTGTCTCTGATATGGTGCAGCTGGTAGTGGTGCTGCTGCTGCTGCTGCTGGAGGTGATGGTGGCGGTGGTGCACGCACGACTACTACTCGCCACACTTGCGTCACGGCCCGAGCCCAACTCTCGTGTGTGAACTTCAACAGCACCGCAGCCCTTCTGTCCACTCTCGACGACCCGAAGGAAGCCTGCGCGACTACCGCTGCTTTCGGTGGCGTCTGTGCGGCCCGAGCCGCTAGATGACAGAGACGAGTCGCTTTTGCTTCCTGATGAACTCTTGAGAAAATGAATTCGGCTCGCCGCCGCCTGTATCACCGAACTCGCACTCTCGTACTCTTTTTCGGGGCAGCATATTATTCTTCTGAATGAGGACAGCTCACTTAAGCGCATTTCCCTCGACGAGCCCTCCTGTAGGCAGCCGCACTTCTTGGAGCTAGAAATATCCAAACTCTCGGGGTTGCTCGCTCTCGCGACGCGCACGTTTTGAAAAACGCTTTGGTAAGGTCCGTGAAAAACTGCGTCTGGGGACTCGCAGGCTTCCACCAGCCCGACCGGAACCTCCATAGTCTAAAAGCAGAGTACAACACAGGCCGTGAGGGTTTAAAGGGGACTCACCGCAACAAGTTCATCGACGAAATCCTTGAAAAAGTTCCAGTCAGACAGACACGAGTGAGCTGCGCAGCGCGACACTGTGTAAGCAAAAATAATCAAACGGACGCGCATGTAATCGCAGCCGGAGACGCATAGGCGGCTCTTAATAGACGTCAACGAGAAAAGTTTTCCGAAAATGCACGCGATTTGTTCTTCGGGGCTTTATTCAGTCCCAGTCATACTTGCACGCGTGTTATCCATAAATGAGCAGATGTAATGGCAATGGGAGGTGGGAATTTCTATCCGCCGCTCGAGTACTTTTCCGTCTACCTTGAGAACGCGCGATAAGATTTAGCGCCGTTTTGTTTGCAAAGGACAGTCCCAGAAGAGGCGGCGGTTGGTACAGTAGCACCCTGGGTGCACCATAACGACCAATCCTTTTATTTTAAAGTACAGTTACGGCCCTTTTCTCCCGTGTCAGGTACTCTCCTGAGCTCGGACGCAGGTAATGCGGGGAGAGCTTGCTGTGTCACGGTGTTTTGCCGGTGTAAGCAGTAATTTCACGGAGAGTTCGCTCGGGAAAGTCCTTGAGCGCTTTTACTGTCAGGACTAAATTATACAGGCACAGGAACGGCGCCAGGACGGGCGAATAGGACTAAGCGCACTACAAATACGAGCGGGGGATCACAACTCACTTTTACTTAGTATTAAAATAAAACAGATGCCTATAAATATCATAGGTTTAAAGAAGGTGAAAAATACAATAAAATCAATGAGCCCCACTGCTCTACGAGAGAGTGCACAGTGCGCACTTTATGAGGGTCTGGGCCTTTGTTCTGTGGAAATGTTTCTCGTGACATTTATTACTGAGCGCACACTAAATGCACACTAGGACTGTTAAACCTGTCTGAGGAGCAAAACAGGTTAATGACTATTATTATATTTTTTATTTCTTTTTTTTTTTCAAAGAAGATGCTCAGATTTAACCTTACTGGAGCAAATGGCACTGCCTGGACATTTAAATTAAATATGAAAAAACATTAAATGCTTTTGTGTGTGTGAAATTTAATAGACCATTTAATTACACTGCAGAATTTAAGATCAACTTAACACATGAGATCAATTAAAAAAAAATTAAATAAAAAATGCCAAATGCCCTTTTTAGACAGAATGTGAATTTCTGGATTGAGATGGGAATGTGAAATATGGGAAATATGACTGACTGGGCAATAAAAGGAAATGAGAAAAAGTCTGAATCTGATAGACAAACAAACTCTACTTAATGAAATCACCTTATTTATATTTGATCTCTCTTGGCTTTGCTAAAAAGACTACTCTAACTTTTTCATCAAAGCTCCAGAAAGTGAGAAAACACCCAGACAAAAATGACATTATACTGAACAGTATAGTGCAAAAGTCAGTTCCTGAGGTGCTTTTTCATTCACGTCCAGACATGAGGCCATTATTAGCTCTACTGAAAGCAATATTATTATACTAGAACTTATATTACTGCAAAGGCAAGGACATCTCTTCATATCCATTTTATTCACTGCAACTTACTGTGACCTTTATTACTTTTTTCGCCAGAAGGGGATGTCAATGGTCCTCAGTCAGAGGCTATTCATTATTAATCCCAGTTATCAGTTTTCTCCAGATTACTCACTCTTTAACATAAGGCGTAATTCATGTCAAACACTACATGCAGAGAATGATTTCTCAGCAGAAACTTTGCCCTGTTAAGAAGCAAAAGTTTTTAGCAGCGCAGCGAGTGTGCCACGTATGCAGTGCAGGAAAAGGATATTGCGATTTGGGCGATGAATGCTGCAGTGAAGTGTTTTAGCTTATTCAGAATGAGAAGCTTATTCACAATGAATTGGTGAGCGTCTGTGGGAGGAGCTGAGAGTGAGGGATGGAAGTTGAGAGGGCTGTTTGGTTTTGTTTTGTACTGACCGGAGAGGGGAGAGATGAAGGGAAGGTACTCAGTTGTTTGGTTTATGAGTTTAGGCTTGATTTGGTTATCACATTTCATCATTGCATTTTTGTTTAACATTAGGAACTGGTGCTCTACCCATCCCTCGTGGACTCTCATTGTGTTTTCTTTTTTTCTTTTTGATTATTCACATCCGCTAGAGTTTGTGTGTGTGTGTGTGTGCCACCTGTTGCTTAGTAACTGAAATTCCACGTATACTCAAAGCATTACGGCAGAGAACAGCCCATTTACTCTAATTAAAAACCTAATTTTTCTTGTATTTCTCTGAAATAGTTTTTTTGTTATAGGCTCCTGCTGTTATTATGTTGAAAACAATATTCAAAGTTCAGTGAGAATTAAATTTGACATAACAGGATGCTGTATGTAGCAAATGTTGATTACTGCACAACATGTTTTACTTGTTCCACTTCCATAAAAACCTAAGAGAAAATTAAAAAGTATTTAAAAATATTATAAGAATATATACATGCTCAACATGACACATTGAAACACAATTACCATCATAATGACAAAAACAGACAACTCTACAGTACATGTTTTATTAGAAGAATTAATGCAAGTTCTTTTATAAAACAGGATGTAGAATTTGTAGTTTGGTTGTAAACATTTATAACAAAAATATTTTAGTCCTGGTTCACTTATAGCATTAACACTGTCACAAACCTAAATAATGAAAATAGGTCTTTGACACATCATATCACATCAAAACTTATGTGAGCAATGTTTGTGTGCTGCACTATTCATTTTTGAGAAGAGATTTTCTGTAAATTTGCAGTTTTACGTATTTTGTGATTCATGTTTTTATTTTTCTTCTGTTTATGTATGCTCTTGAATTGCATTATAGGGCCTTGATCTTTCTTCTAACAACGTTTAACCTTTAACAGTTGTAAAGTGAGTTTTAAAGAACTTTATATTGTCTGGGTTGGTGTTGTATATTACAGTACAAAAGCCTTGTAATAAACTGCCAGTACTGTACATTATGAGTTATTTCACAGACTTATTTCTCTACATATTATTTTTTATACAATATATTATTAATAAATTAATAAATTGTCACTTTGTTAAAGTATAGAGTTGAATTTCCAACATCAGAAGTCGACAGAGTAGAGATCAAGAAACCATAATGTAATTCACAAACGTAAATAAACAGAAAGAACTAAATACAGAATCTGTGAATTAGCAGCATTTTTAACAGTGTTTATATGAAAATATATTTAGCAGCTGATAACCAAAACTAATCCCACCGACATTAAAAAATACTATAGTAATTTATAGTAAATTCTATAGTGGTTTTAATCATACTTGAATAAATTGCTGTGGTAATATGTACAACAACTATAACCCAATCCTGTTCAAAGCTTTCAACCCTAATATGTACTATAATACAGCACAGTTTACTGTATTAAAAACTAGAACAATATTTAATAGCCTACAGTTGATTAGTTTATGATAATGTATGCTGCATTAAAATACTATTCATTAACAAAGTGTTGCAAATATACTGAAAAAAATGATTCACAGATGACTTCTTGAATTTACTCTCTTTTAAGGTAAGTGGTTGGAAATGATTTATTTGGGCTGAATTTAAACAAACAAATTAAGTTTGTTTAATTTCTTTGTTTAAATTTACATCATAGCAATTGTTTTTAACAAATATACCATAAATGTGTACCATTCTTATTATTAAAATGTTCTTCACACTATACAAATGAAAAAAGTTCTAGTATGACACCAAGTTGGATTTTTTAGGAGAGAGTTTACTGTACATGTTCACATATACATTTGTTTTTATATTAATAATAAAACAGAGTGTGATTTTGATAGATAAAGCTTTTTTCCAGGCTAAAATCTCTACACAGTATACAAAAATACACTTTACTTTAGGATGGTTCATAAACATTTGAGTATTTATTATAAACTACTACAGTATTTTTTCATGTGGTCAAGGTAGATGTGTAAAAAGAGACAGTGTGTTTGATAAAGTTTACTGACATTTAATGGTCAACATTGTGAGTATGACATGTTATGTAGATGTCTTTAGTCCATGCTGTGTTCATATTTCAGTCAAACCACATCAAGTTTGTTTGAAAGCGGTCTCAGTCCACTTGTTTGGTATGCACCAGGGTGTGGATGGCAATGTTCACATTTATTCAACTGTACCATACCATACAATTGCATCAGAGTTCGTTTTAATTAAGCAATCCTGCCAAGAACACTCCCTAAACGTCATAATCTGCTTTTAAGAAATTCGGTCCTATTCATTTGTATTGGTATTGTTATTTATTTTTTATTAAGAAAAGGCACAAGTCAAAACAATTTTTGTGATAATTAATTTTATGCCACAAACACTGTCGTATGAGTTTCTAATATTTACTGATGACTGAATCTGTGGTTACCGGTATCAAGATTATGTACACATAATTAAACCCACAAAACAAAGTATGTGCTCTGTGAAATAGGTGGATTTTAAAATGATTGATTACAAACTCTGTAGCAAAGTAAAGTACCTCAGGTGACTGCGCATATGTGTTTGAGTGTCTATATAAAGCAGTTATTTGGGGTTGCTGGTGTTAAACTTTATCTGTAAATATTCTAATAAATAAGAAAGTTTTTGTCTTTCTATATATCGCTCAGACACTTATAATGAAAAGGGCAGATATTTTTAAAATGCTTGTAATTCTGCATAATATTTTTACGTCATTTAGGATATATTCTATGCTTCAGCTCTAAAAATGTATGTTTTGCCAAAACGGTTAAAAAACATTATCTGATTGGTAATGAATGAGGTGATGTGTACTCATGCCATATGAGAGTATTTGATGCGTCATGAACATGTGGCTTCAAATAAATACAAATGTAAAATGAAGGTGTGGCTGCTATAAAATTTTTGCGGTGAGAGTGAGAGAAAAACACAAAACATTACAATGATTGTGAGCAGCTGGTTGTGACATTCAGACTCCAAAAAAAGAAGTAGATTAAACATTAACATCCATAATTTTGAAAGGAAAAAAGATTTTTTTTTGCAACCGTGTTATAGAAGAACCCCCAAATAACCTTTCAGTCAACAGTTCTTTAAAGAACCACTTATTTCTGAAGAACATTTTAACAATCTAAAGAGTTTTCTACATTTAAGAAGCTTTTGTAGAATGAAAATGTTCCAATGGTGTTAAAGGGCACCTATGATGAATATCATCTTTTGGAAGCCCTTTGGACTGAACTGAGCGTCTACACAGTCATATTGGAGTGATATAAAGACAACAAGTCTCTTTTTTTAACGTTAAAGGGTTGCGAAACACCAAATTGACAGTCATATATGTGCCCCATGCTGCTAAAACACTATTAGGA